ACCCAGCAGCTTAATTTTGAGCAAAGTACTCATCGATGTATTCACTATGCTCACGCGACAGTGGCCACTGTCGAAGCAATGCATACTTTGATCCAGGTTTACGATCAATCTCGTATCAAGTTTCACGTTCGGTTGGAAGCCAGAGGGCGATTTCACAAATTGAATACAGTCCTTGGAGAGAAGTGTTTGTTTGCATTGGTAAGACTTTAGTACTTAGAGATAGCAGATAGCGATACGCTACGCTAGTACTGGTTCTTAGAAAGAACGTAAGTTCGATTACCTTAGTTTAGTTTCCTCTATGCAAAACGCTACGGCAGCCCCGCTGTAGGAGTGGCCTGTCATGCCATAGGGACTATCTAATGCCCTAGCAACGCTCATTCGATTGGCCTCCCGTCTAGTCCGACCACTGCAATGCTTTGCACAGACCTATTATGACGATATTCTTGTTCATTCGAAGGTCAAAGACGGCAGATCTGCCGAGATGTGCACTGGAACACATCCGTGCGGTGCCAGAATGTATTCATTGCAACGAACTTTGCAAAATGTATCTTCAGTGCCAACGAGCCGGTCCTCAGTTGTTTTGTTGGTGAACACACGTGTTCGTGTAGACCTTGAAGAGGTCAAAGCAATCGTGGAGTGGCCAGCGCCACAAAATTAAGATAATTGGAAGAGATGGATTGGTTTGTCCAATCAACTGCGTTGTTTCTCGCGTTTGTTCGCGGAAATGGTATGCACACTTTCAAACTTACTTGAGAAGGACGTACGTTGAGGATGATCACCCGCTTCTGAAGAAGCATGCGCTCATAAGAAGAACCGCTTGATGGAAGCATTATTACTTGCTGTTGAGCATTATTTAAAAAGAAGACAAGGGGACACGATCGTGTTATCGCGTTTCCACCGCGACAGCTGCAGTCAGTAGAAAAGAATTACCCTGTTCACGACAAGAAACTTTGAGCAAGGAATATGCTCTGTGCAGTTTCGTGCTCACCTCTTTGGTTTAGCTCCATTTATCGTCTACATGTATCACGCAAGCTTGCGTTATGGAGTCCAATCACCTCACTTGTCACAGCGAATGGCTCGCTGGTTGTCAGTCTTCATTAAATACAACTTCATGGTCGCGTACAAGATAGAGAAATTGAACGTGCTGGCAGACGCATTGTTAGGTTGTCGTGATTACGAGGTAGCTCATATCCGCTATATCGAAAGCGATATTTTCAATATGATGCGTCGAGCGTATGTTCAAGATGAACAGTGTGATTTGATCATCAGAGCACTGTCATCGAGTGATAGGAATATCCATGACAACCTTCCTGGTCACTTGAAATCACGGTTGCATCGTTATGCATGAAAGGATGTTCTTCTTTACTATGAAGTAGCACGTTTCGTCGAGCCACGTGTCGAAGCTCCCCACAACGATAATTTGAAGTACTAGATTTTTTACGCGGCGCATGACACGCTGATGGTCGGTCGCTTTGGCCGTCGAAAATCTACCAGTCTCTCAGTACCAATTTGGTGGCACCACATGTAAAAGTGAGTTGCACGATACGTGAAGACATGCAATGTCTGTCAACGCCTGAAGAACGTACGACCCACGCAAATGCCACTGCAAAGTCTTCGTGTTCATACTCACTGTTAGAAGTCTGCCGATCTTGACTTTATTTTCGGCTCCCCTTAGATTGCTGATGGCCACCATGGAAAACTCGTCTACACACTCAGTAAGATGGTTCGCATCGCTCCGTGTAACGATTCCATCGATGCCGAAGGTTTGGCTAAACTGTAGATTAATTGCATTTCTCGCAATCACGGGTTGCCAGACGCTATCGTCTCCAATCGTGATACCCATTTACGGGTGGCTTTTTGAAAGAATTGTTCTGAGTTCTTGGCACTCGCTTGGATATTTCCACAGCAATACACCCGAAGACCATTGGGCAAATAAAACGTGCCAACCGAGTGGGCCGTGATGTGTTGAGAAGTTTTTTTTGGATAGTAAAACGGGATGAAGTTCTTTACTACCATTGATTGATTATACTATGAGCAGTTCGGCTCATTCATCCACTGAGTTTATGCCATGTTTTATGAATGGCTTGCGACACCTGCAATTACCACTTTTTGCTACGGGTAGTAAGCGGAGGAGGAGCTCAGCAATCATTGCCTTGTTAGTTGATACAATCAATGATGCGCATATGGACCGGAAGTACAAGGACGCCCTGGGATCATTCATCATAAGTCGCGTGAATGTGATCACACGGGTGCGAGACGCAACGGCAAATGCGCAAGATCGGCAAAAGGGGCTTGCAGATAGACGAGGTCGTCAAGGCAAATTGTATTTTATTGTGGAAGATTATGTACTTAGTACTTATAACCTATCGGACGATGCGGTCTCAAGCTTGGGAAACTCGAAACTTTTCCTCGCTTCATCGGTTCGTTTCGAGTAGTGTCATCCATGGGAATGCGTACACGATCGACCCACCAAGCTTGCTAAGAACCCATCCAACGTTCTACTCAAAACCTACCATCGCGACGACGCGATTTCCAACCTGGATGTAACGCACAACTATTCGAAGGTAGCTTTTACGCAACGGTTTTAGCACGAGGATCGACGGTCGAACCTGTTGGCGTCGCACTCGGAATGACGAGGATAATCGGGAACGCCCAATACAGAGCGATATTGCTTCCTGCATCATCGGCGAAAGCCGCAACAGGCGGTAGAGCTTGCAGAGCCTGCTTAAGTCTGTGAATCCGACCCTCGACTGCGTCCTCAAGCGAGTTCCCATGATGCCACGCGAATCGCAAACTTCGGGAAAGACCTGTCGGTTATCCTTCACGAATTGTCGCTGTGATGACACTCGATCGGTCACTTCGATCAGCCGCTAGTTCATTAGCGAGAGAAGCTTCCCACCTTCGTAAACGCAGCTCCAAGGCGAGCAAAAACTGTGGACCAGTCACTGAAGAAGCAGAGGGGACGGCGGCTCCAGACACCTTCCTCTCTTCGAGATCGACATGAAAATCAAAAGTACCACGTCGAGAGCGTGGTGGCAGAGAGAAATGTCTTCGGTTGGAAGTAGCTTTAAATGAACTGGCCGGGTACCAACACATCGAAGTCTCGTACCCGTATTCGTGACGACGTCCCAGTATCGTTTGTGCGTTCGATGCGGGTCCAAACACAGACTCCGCTTAGGGAAGCTGTTCTATCCTCTTTTACTCATGTCTGATGATTGAACGCACTTCACGAGCATCCACAGAACCCGATTTTGCGCTGTCTAATGCGCAAATCAAAGGCGCATATCGCGTACCTTCAACAAGTCAGCAGCAACGCTTGCGATTTGCAAACGGTGGATGTCCACGGACTTGGTAGCATGGATCCAAGCCCAGAATCGAGGGTCGGTTGTCTGGATGGAATCCAAATTGGATTGCTGGACATATGGGACATACGTGATATTCTGTGATTCACCTCCGGCACGAGTGATCGGTCCGATGGCGCAAAAATACGCAGCTTGATTCATCAGTCGAGTACCCATCAGGCTAAAGAGTTCGTCAAACTCTAGGGTGGATCCACCACGTCTTTTGTAAACGTCATCACGACGTTCATGTTCACGATAGCGCAAATGCGCTGAATGACGTGGTTTTGGAGGGAATTCGAAGCTCGATAGTGACGAAGAACTCATGTGGAGTAATCGTGTGGATTGTCGCTCTAGCGAGAATTTGGCAGAGTGATATGAAGAGCGGGAAAAGAATCGGAAATAGCGTTTATACTAATTTTAAGAATTTGGGTAAACCCACCTACGAGTGGGGGGAGTGTTTATTTTAGTACATAAGTTGTAGATACATAAATTGTCTTTCTGACATTTACTATACACCCTGTATAGTTGTATATCCTCGTTCAGTTCTGTTGTACCAAAACGGAAAGTAATTGTCAGGTTAGGGAGATTAAAAGCAATTTGACTATGTACTAAATGTCACATCACTTTCCCTTCTTTCCACGTCAGTGAAAAGCCCGCTGAAAGCGAGCATCACGCCGTCAGGTTCGTCACTTGACTTAAGTCTTTCGCATAAAATTGTGTGTGCACGGACGGGCAATTTCCGTTACACTAGTCTCATGTAACTTTTTTTGCCGCACAGGCGTCTGTCGATGATGGCGCCTAGCTAACATATCTCACGTGCTCCAATCGGCGAAATAGACTTTTTGCTTGCCACCGACCTATCTAAGCTTGCTTCATCAGCTATTTTCTCTGAGTCAACGCCAAGCAGATCCAAAACACGTCCTTGACACGTCGATCATTATTAACATTCCCGAGCTTACTGAGTCCGCATCATTTAAAAGCAATCGATAAACAGCGTCAGATTAATATTGTTCCAAATGTTGTGAGCCCATTAATGTGGACTTCATTAAAGTGGCCATGTTATTAGCGTCCCATAAACCATCTCGTGATTACACATTCGCCAGATCAAAATTTATGTGAATCGTCGGAAAGCCATATGCGATTTGATTCTGACAGCATCAACTAACAAAAGATTACTGACAGATTCATCATCACATTACGCGAGGCTTCAAAAAATCGTTCTGAACATAGCGCTTTTGTACTTAGCGTGCATGTATTGAACAAACTTCGAGCCTTTCGTGCTGTCTTCGGCTCTCCTGGACGCTTAAGCCAAATCACGCGCGGTTCTGAACCATTACTTTGCTTCCTAAATTTGAGCCCTGTTTTAGGGGTATTCACAGACCTCCAGTTCAGTAGTTCAAGATTGAACTTTTAACGAGCCCTATTGTGGCATGTAAAATGAATGTAGTCAATTTATACTAATGTGAAAACATTCAATATTAATATATATTATATCAAAAAAAAATTACATCGCATGTCGTGAGGCAGTCCACTGCTTCATTAGAAGGTATCATCATTATAAAAAAGTACCAATATATCAGAGCGTATTAGTGCTTACAATCACACGTAAGTGTAACGCGAGTTTTGTACAACTGTATTTTATTGCATTTAAATAATGACATGGACGTGCTAATTGTATATACCCTATGGTAAATAATGTCATCGTTTCACCCCTCCGGCTAAAACCTCACTAATTTTCTGACTTCTTCTGTCTCGTTTGTGTACAGTGTTTGCTCAGCGAGAGCACACTACACACGGATTTCGCTCTATTCTCTGAATTCCTCAATGCACCTGATATTATATTTGCATCGGTATTGGCTACCGAGGACACCAAAAAGCTCGAAGAGTCCCCGAGAAGGGCGCGGATCTCATGACTGCCGCCCTCAAGGATCCACTTAGTGTGAACGCTCGCAGCGACACCCCTCGACTTCACCTTATCTCGCTGCCCACATCTGGACGCATAAAGCGGAGCGATTTACCAAGATGAAGGTGCTCACAGCGCTCTGCCTTTCCTCTGTACGAATTAAAGACTCTGCTAGCGCGCAGCTCAGAAAGCGTATCTGACAGACGATATGTATCGATATTTTTACCACATATAAGAATTTTTGCACCGCCCATATAACCGAAAAGGCTCACGAGAACCAGACGCCGGATCGCGCAACTTAAAGATCGAGGGATGACCCACTTCCCCATGGACGGTTTTAGGCCATCGGTACACCGAGGCTGTTACCAGTATCTAGTGGAGTAGAAGAATACCCTCAATCAAAAAGTAATTGGTGGTTGAGATTTTACCTCGACTAAACTGCCAGGCGACGCTGCCTCTACAACCCTATGACATTCAAGAAGAGAGGGGCCGTCCCTCACATCACGCCTTCTGCTAGCAAATTGCAGATCGGCCTTGTTGATAAATTCAGTACTTTGTCGACAGCTTTAAAAGCTGTGTCTTGGACACGAGCGAGGTTGATATTAGCAAGCTAGAGGTATTGGGGTTTTATCTCGACGTCCCGCGTGATTTGTACATTGCAGATTCAAGCATTTACAATACAATTGTTGGACGTTCGCTTCACTTAAGACGGGATTTGAATCAGGAGACAGGCGGAAGCAAAATTAACCCAGCAAAAAAGTAATATCAAATTGACACTCTTGTTAACATCCAGCGCCAACCAAGAGATGGACAAAAGTAGTTACAAAACAGCAAATAAATAAGGTGCAAATCGACACTCTTGTTAGCTTTCAGCGCCCGACAAACATGCCTTATGAAAAGCACAGGTTCTCAACCGCTGCAGCTTTAATCAAAGGCGGTACTCGTTTGGAGCGATTGTTTGTAGGTGAAAAACGCTAACGGAGTGTTAGTGGAAGGCCTGCACGTATAGACGAATGAGGGCGTCGTCCCAACGCTTAAATTATAGTCACGACATAACGAATTGGCATGAATCGACATAACCCTTGTCCTTGCAGACGTGCACGGATTCGTGTCCAGCTTGTTGATGAAAACCTAAAGATTGTCGTCGATAGCACAGCGGGATGTCGAGATACTGCCTGCCGTCTGAAAAGAGCTCACTGTGTGGCTTGAGGAACTATCAGCGGTTGATTTACAGCCGCTCTTCTTGACACGGGGTGGCTCAGCAACAAAAACATGATTGACACTGTGTACAACTGAATGCTTCACATCCGACTGACACGCAGGGCAAAAGAATGAAAAGACTTATCAAGAACGCAGAACACAGGGTTATATTTGTACTTTGCGAATCAAGGATCCTAGCCTCTTGGACAAATTTCGTCAAAATCAATGCCAAGCGCAGATCGCGATCTGATACAATGACAGTGGCAAGCTTTGTTGGCAAAAAGCTTTGTTATGGAGCTGTTAGGCTGTATCCTTGTTGATTATAGTATGGTTGCCAGCAGCGAGGCGAGTGTTTTTTCAAACGGTCCAAACACGTCACAGTCTCGGTTCTACCGAGTACGTCGTTTAGAGAGACCCCCCATTCTTATATACTGCCACCACTATGCCGGAGATGGCAGGCTGACAAATTGTGTCAGCGCATGCGGTAATCACTCAAGCTGTTGAACGTTTCTCACGTACAAACATATGCCGAATACATGTTAATTCACCTGCACAAAGCGCTCACCGATCAGTATGTACCTTTCTTGAGGTGGCCATCGTTAGTAGTCATACAGTATAAGGATTTGTCATGAGGTACCAACACACGTTGACTGTCAGATAAATCAAAAGTGCGATACGGCAAGTCTTAGGATACGAAATAGCGGTGCAAGCGTGCATTTGCGCTCCCAAACCCTTGCTTTTCGATACTTTAAGTAACGCAACAAGGTTGGGTCTAGTCAATACGCTGTACAAATCGCCTCACCGACTGGCGACGTACATGCGATCGATCATTGCCGGGGCGACGCAAAAGCGCTTTCGCCGCCACATACCAGGTGCTTCAATAGACAGTATTTGTTAAAAAAAACTAACCGGAGCATCTGCTCAGAGAACTTACCGCGATAGAAGGGATACCGTGGTCTCTCAACAGCAGTCGATCATACTACTGACCTTGTCAGTGGCACTAAAACGGTACAATCAGTTTGCTACAGGATGCACATAGGTTTACATTAATTGCATTATTCGCCGCTTGCCGTTAGCCCTTTCGACTCAGAAAGCCGGTCTATGCCACCAACGTCACTTCGTGACTTGCACAAAAACAATAGTAACTTTTCCTTGCTCTTTAGGACGGGGTCATTGTTGTATACCGTGATAGTTGGCTACAGTGATCAACCCGAATTCTTGACGCACTCCTGAATCGAGGAGCGCGGGGATAACACGCGTGGTGAGCACTTGTCGCCACGCCGCGCAATTTTTTGAATTGACAATAAATACAATTTGAAATTTGTTGGAAATAGCTTATTCAGTTCTCGTATTTAAAGTTCTCATGGACTCACACATTGCGGATGATGAGCTAAATATCTCTTCCGTAATCAATCGTACTATTTCGGGGATTGCACCACGTTGCAATGCCCTGAACAAATATTCTGGCATGATTTCTCAGCTACAATGAGATCAACGCTTAGGACAGCGCTAAGTCGTGGCAAAAAAGGACAATCCTTTCTCGCTCCGCGGCTTGGCCTTTCTATCTGGGGCTTGAAATAGCTCTTGACGAAAGCATCTTTAACATGGAGGGCCGCGACATCCTGATCATTTTGCTACTCGCTGGCTTTGGCACAACGACACTAGCATTAATATGTGATCAACTGTTCCACCAGATTTTTGGAGATCTCAGCTTGTAATTGCTTCTTTCTATTTCAACCGAGATACACTACGGGGACCACGACACACTACCGCTTCTGCGCTTTAAAAAATGATTCAAACATTCAGCAAGATCACACTAGACACTCTTGACTAACTCATGCCCTGCACAGAAGATATTTTATTCTCGTGCCTGCGTCAAAATTCATTTTGCTTTCTGCCAAAGGTGTGTTAGATTTCAGCAACTTTTCTCCAGCAGAAAAGTAGTCTTTTCTCTCTCAGGCGAAATTTGGATGCGATCACGTCATGAATCCGGGTCCAGGGCAGAAAGCGTTTATTGAGCTGTCGACTTTCTATCACTTGACCTTTTACCGGGAACACCGTTGCAAGACGCACGGTTGTTGCGTCGGCTATAAGCATCTTCAATACTTCCGCGCACTGCCCACTGCTTTCTACGGTCGCGTGTCGTACGTGATTGCACAAGCTTCCAATCCTATCAGAAATTTACAACCTCACAAAATCCTTTTCGTTAATGCTAGATAACAGCAACCTTAAGTACGTTTCTCAGAGAGAGTCGCTATTTTGATAACTGATTTTTATAGATGCCGCCCTTTACGAGGTACAAGAGATTTCGGAATTTTAAGTAGACGCGAGGCAGCCTACTGGAACAATACTTTTCTACAATAGGTTCGTTGAGCGATCTTACGCGGAAGCTCAAGCCTTCATATCTCTTACTCGGGGCGAAGATGGCACGTAAGGCGCAAAGGTGTTATACTACCACAGATAAAACAATGGGAGTGCTTGGAAACCTAGAGAATAACGATTTTTTCTTCCATATCGCTACTGAGTTCAACTGCCTCTGACGCGCTCATCAGATCCCTACATCTAGTACCTCATTAGGCTCTCATAAAAAGAATGTCGTATTCTGCTATCAAGGCAGCATCTTTATGATTTTTTAAGGATTAGGGTGAGCGCAAAAATTCTCGGTGCGATCCACGCTTGTATGCGAGCCTGTTATGAAGATTGAAGCTCTAACATTATCTCAAAGATGGTTTGGAACCATTGTGGCGATGAAAGTTCATGATACGTAGGCATAAATGGCAATGTTTGCCTCTATTGACAGGCGATACATAATTCCGAACGAACTTAATATGCTTGGTCAGGTGGCATGAACACCCGCGCTTCAAATAATTTTCATGTTGGGAGCGCCTGCTTTCCAAGGAAGTAGACGTTGGTGCAAATTTTCGCGGACAATTTTCTGGCTTGGAAACCGCATGCATGACGTGTCATTGAGAACTTGGGCGTGACACTATTTATGACAATCTTAGCGTTTTCTCATCTAGCAAGGTCTCTCTGTCTCTGCCCATAAGAGACTTGAGCCTTAACATTGACATCTTCACGACAAATGCCACCTGCTCTCCCACCGCCGCCTGGTCGGGGTGCTCCAGGATATATCCCCAGCGCGTTCTTATTGCTGATAAATGTTTCCATGTGATGGAATACCGTATTGGGCCGACGTCTCCCTGACTTCTTCAATACCAACTATAGACATATATAAGGGGTCCAAGCGTGTCTAGTTGTTCCGGAGGCAGGTACGCTAGATAAGCCATGTTCCATTTCCAAAGAAGATTATTCGCGACTTGATTGTGGAACCGACAGTATGTGCTACTAAGTGCAATGGGTTGTTGTGCACCTTACGCAGAAGAGGCTTCGGCTATTAGAATCTACATTATCAAGCTCACAAAGTTGGGCAGTAAGCTTCACCCACATGCAAAGCCGATAGCCTGCACCGTAATACTTACCTTGGTTGATCGACTTTTCAAGATATACATAGTAATGAATCAGTACATGACTTATACTAAATATATACGTTTCGCTAACTAACCTGTTTGGTACAGCCCGCGTGTACTACAGGTCTCTTCGTCGTTGACTACACAGCGAGACTGTTTCTATATAGACTTCATCAGGATTCTTTCGTAATATAAGTCACGCGGTATCTACCTGGCGATGTCAACGCCACAATTTCATCTAACCTGGCTCCCTGGAGTCTTGGCATTTTAACAGATCTCACTTTATCAACTGATTACATCCACATGCGCAGAGAAGTGCACGAATCTTCTCGTATGTAATAAAAACTAAATATGCTTATTATCATGTTATCTTAATGAACTGGTTGGCAATATTTATTGCGTAATTTGCCCGAGGGTCTCACTGTAAAGAGTGAACGCTTAAAATAGAAAAGGCTATCCGTCTTTTCTTTTGCAGTGGTTGATGATAAGATGAGCGCTGAGACAATAAGTTGATCACGAGTCATTCTTTGGAGATATTGCACCAACGTGAGCTTTTAATGAGCACCCGCTGCGAATGGGGTTCTTTTCACCAAATTACAGCTTACGTACCTGGCAGTATACAATAAGCCGCCGAGAAGAAATGAGAGAAAAGCATAGAAGTTCCGACCCGATTGATTAGAACATCGAGTATGATTCTCGTGATCCATGCTTTGACAAAATTCCTGTAAATCAGATCTGCTGAACAAATTTGCTGCCTTGCTTTGAAATCCGTGATTGAGATTTTGATGCAGCTTTGAGGTGTATATGATCCCAGCGTCTACGTGCGTCATCCGGAACACCAATGAAACGATGCCAATATTAATGTTTGTAGCCTCTGGCATCTTGAGCTATGAATGACCACTACACAATCTGGATTTGACGAAAAAACGGCTCTCTGAGCTCGCTTATTGGTACATCAAGAAATTCCAATGGATATCCACCGCACTCGACTTCGTGCTTAAAGAGGAGGCGCTCCTGCACCCGGGATGCGGATGACTCCTGTGATGCTCGTCCCTGGCAAAACTACTGCAGATGACGAAGAACTCTTTGAGCAATCTTGGAGGTAGCGGTTTGCGATTCGCTACAGGTTCGTTTTGGCTAAATGATTCCGTAGCATGAACACTCTTTTAAGCCAAGCGCGTATTTGGTGTATTTGGGGATAGTGTACAGTCTAAAGCTGAGCATATTTCTCTTTCTCGTCTCCGATCAAAGTCAGATAATCAGATGGCTGTTGCCGATTGATATGTGACGCCTTGTATATCAGTCAAATTTGCAAGAAGTTAAACTCGTTAATCTTGGCTTAAATTGATTGACTACGCTCGACCACTGCTTGAGCTTTACCAATCGAAAAAGATAGAACATCTAATTTCGGCGTTGGTCTCATAATTTTTTGCAAGTTCCTGCTCAGGTCCCAGATGTGACAAATATAAATCTCGCTAAATTCTCTATCTTTTCGACATTTCGCAATCATCAACGTCTGTGGAACGGCTATCGTAATGCCCTTGGCTATTACAATGCAGAAAACAACCAGAATGGTTGTCGGTTAACTCACAGCATTTTACTGCAGTGGGAATATTAGGCAAAACTGTGCTGTCGATATCGTTTGTAGCTGCAGCGACACGCTGGCTGCAAGCGATCTTGCTGATTACTCTTGGGAGTGTTCGACTGTAAGCTTTCTCAGACTGAAAATGAAGTTTCTGGATTCACTGTTCGACAAGGTAGTTATGACCCCAAAGTATCGAAGCGTACGCGTCCGTACAGCCACACCCTTGCAGATTTGCTTCATGTCCGATGGACAGAAGTGTCATTTGTACTGTAGGATACTTACTTTTTTTTCAGACTTAAAGAATCCAGGTGCTTCATGCAACTCTTAAAAAATGAGCGGACGGAGTAAACAATTGTCGAGTACGTAAGTTCTCGATTAGCTTATTTTGATGCCGTATTTGCCACACTGGTCTGCTTATTTTTCATTTCATTATTCCACGCACTATTCTAGAGGCTATCAGCAGCGTGTTTGAGGTCTATTGGCGACAAAAGTGCCATTGACTTTGTGTAGAAGATTCCACGAATGAAGGAGGCTGTGTTCTCAAGCATTCAAATGTTTTGTTCGTACGCTCCGCTCATGAACGAAGCCAAGAGTCTCTACGTGTTAGACTGCTCTACTATTCCAAGAGTACTATAACTAGGAATTAATTCAATTGTAAAATAAACTAAGGATGCAGTTTTATTCTAATGATGCCTTTATTACTTGCCATATTCTACACTTTGAGACAAAAGTGTACGGTCATCGGGTGCTGTAGATATTTTTTGATATGTGCAAAACACTGGATCAAAACAATTCCTTCTCTTTAGTTCCAAAACATATCTCATAATGCAGAGCGTTTCATACTGGAAACCCTAAGTTATTTCGGTAGTACAGAATCAAAAGAACTTGTATTTCTGCAGTATCATCTACGCTTACGATAAAGCACATCTAGCTTTGAATTAAAAGATGATAACTTTCATATGAAAGTTGATAAAATGACGACTATTCCAGATTCAGTTAAGTCCTGACCATTGAAACGTTTTATAAACCAGTCTTGCCCTATACCGTCTTCTTTACTTTGTCAGTTTTGTCATTCACACCATTCTTGGCGTGGTCCGCTTTCCCCTTCGCTGCTTCGGTCACCTCGCCACTTTTTTCTGCTGCCTGATTAATCGTTTCTTTTGCAGTATCCTGAGTCTGCCCAGCCTTGTCTTTCGATGTCTCGGTCATCTCACTACCCTTACCTTTAGCGTACTCAACATTCTCTTCTACAACCCCTTTCGCCTGACCCGCCTTAGCCTTCGTTTTTTCGGTCACCTCACGAGCCTTGTCTGATGCCTGTCCAGCTTTCTCTTCAGCCAACTCCTTCGTCTGACCAGCCTTTTCTTTAGAAACTTCCGTGGTCATGCCAATCATCTCCTTCCCCTTCTCCGCTGCGTTAGAAAAAGTATCTTGCACCTCATTTTTTTTGGCAATGACAGATCCTGTAACAGCTGAACCTTTCGCCTCGACACTTTGGGCTGTCTCCGAATGCTGGGCTGCCAATTTCGCGTTCTGTAGTGTTTCCGAAAGGTAGTTCACACTTTCTGCCACCATTCCTACTGTTGCTGTAGCAATTTTACAACCAATACCACCAGTGACTGTTGCGTCAACTTTGGCGGCCACAGCCGTCACACCTAAGCGGGTGTCCAGGTCGCGTACTTTTTGGACGACTCCGCTAGCTATATTGCTTACCCCCAGTTTTTCATCGCCAAATTCAGCTACACGTACGGCCTCGCCAACAACCACTTGAGCCCCATGAGTAGCCTGTCCAGCCATGTTACCGATTGCGTCTCGTAACTTCATCAACTGTTCGTTTGTTGTCTCCAAGGCGTCAGTGGCATGTTGTCGGCCGGCAATAGCATAACTTTGCAACGTTTCGACGGCTTGATGCCCATGGGAGCCCGCAAACTTTTTGTCATATGCAGCAGTTTGCTGCTGAAGGGAATCAAGCGATTCACGAACGGCATGCATACCATCCAGTGCCATCGGAACTGACTTTTCGGACAAATTCTCACCCTGAGTTTTCAGCTTCTCTGTGGCTGAACGAGAAGTTTCAATTGCTGACTTGAGATACTTGCCAGCTGGCTCGAAGCTTGTGTGTTTCTTCTCGTATTCGTCAATACGCTTGGTCAACTGTGAACGCAAAAGAGTAAGTAAGTCAATTCATATCAGTTGAAGCTATCTTTCAACGCACCCCTGCCAAATAGGAATCGGCTTTTTGCGTCGTGTCATGAATTCGATCTCTTGCAAGCTCAATTTCTTGTTCGTGAGCACTCATTCTTCTTTGGTTTGAGGAAGTCGTTGTGTGGCTGAACTAGAAAATTATAAAATGAGAAAGTGTTCAAGTGCAGACGACACAACGCACCGTTAGGGTCGCAAGGCTTTCATCAGTTTGAGTCTTAATTTTCTTGTATGGACCTCGTCCCAAGAAAAGATGGGTGCGATTAATTAACGATCGCATGGACCTTGATGGATGATCACAACGGCCAGCTGGAGATCTTTCCGAAGTAGTGCAGAGCAAAAGTTTTTTTCTAAAAGGTTTTCCCAGACAAGAAATTTTAGCTATTGTAGATGATTAGTTCGCCTATCATTGTGCGTGAAATTTCGAACGTCGAATACGTTTCAGAATGTTGTCGATATAAGCCACAAAATGCACAAGATCAATTGAGCGAGAGTCGTTGCGACATCATGGTCGCTCACTTCTGGAGGTGACCACGTACTTTGATTATTGTTAGTAAAGTTACCACACATAGAAGCAAAGAGGAGTTTCCTGATGGTTAAAAGCTTTGTCGTTTGGCTTGTGTTTGACCATGCGCATTTTCACCATCGGGATTCCTGAAATCGGGAGCTTCTAAATCTATCCGTTATAAATTGAGGATTACTCGTTCAAGGTAAAATAACGTGTTGAGCCGTGTTCCTGAATGAACAGGTGCGCAAAGAAATATGCCGAGTCGATGGAAATCCCATTTTAAATGGATAATGCGAATACATATCGTCATGCTAAATAGTATGAGTAGTAACGACTTGTTTTCGGATCTAGTGAACCAGGTTACCGTTATCCTACAAACCAAAACTCAGCCAGCAAATAAACTTATCAGGAACCGTAGTTTGCTGTTTCATGCATCGACGTTTCGAGCGAAAGATTCGTTAAATTGCAGCCATCAAATATTAAGCGTTTTGTCAGTCCTTGTATGGCGTCCTTTCAGCAGGCAAGCTGTTGGATGCGAAGAACCCATTTAATTCTTGCTTCACTTCTGTTAACCTCACTTCAATTTTTTATCTCAAGTAACCAAGACACACCAACCTCAATCGACTACCATCATCAATAATGGCTATCTCCGACAACACCAAAAGCACCATCCACGAGGATTACTCGAAATTACACGAAATGATGGAGAACGGGGCCAACGAGGCTTCAAGCTACCTCGACTCGCTTAAATCGAAATTCACCGAATATGACAACTCAAACAAGTCTGCAAAGGAGACTACTACAACTTACTTTCAAAGTGCGATGGACCGTGCTAGAGCATCGGTGGACGAATTTAAGAAATCCGGCGAAAGTCTTCGTAAAGAAGGCAACAACGCATCGGATCATGCTGTCAACGCTGCTAAGCGCTCTATGGAGCAGACGGGATCAGCACTTGACAACCTCAGCAAGTCCGCTCAGGATTATGACCAGAAGATGCGCGAATCTGTCAGCTCGCACGTGGACCAAGCCAAGGACAGCGGTTCCTCAACGCTTTCGTCCTTGCAAAATTCGATTTCATCTCTTATCAGCAGTACCCGCGATTCAACATTTCATGGATTTGAGGCGCTGCAAAACCAATTTGCAGCTACCCAGAAGTCGATGGGGGAGAAGGCATCCGCAGCTGCCAATGGAATATCTAACAAGGCGTCGGAGGTATCGGATAAACTCAATCCGTCGGACTCGAAGCTGAACACCAGCGACAATGAGTCTTTGATGGACCGTGCGACAGGAGCAGTGTCGTCGGGAGTAAACTATGTGACGAGTAAGTTCCAAAATTCAACTCCGGAAGACGACGTGAAGTCGGCTTTCAAAACCTCGTAGCTACGAGGTGTTTACATTTTTAAGAACAAAATGCAGCTTTCATGAATTCTTTTAGCGTTCTGTTCCATCGTTTTGGTTAGGCCCCCTGTTAACTACATACTAAGGTCATTAGTGAAAGCATGTGATTACACAAGTGTGTTGGTCAAAAAATCGATCAGGACTTTATTTGAAAAGTTGCCAAAGTTCAAAATGTGAGTCAAATATTGATCACATTCGTTTAAGGCTCAAAGCTGTCCCTTGAGACCTAATGGTCACAATTAGTAACTCCATTAACACGGTGTAGTATACTTCTTCAAAACAATGTGGCTCTGCTGCAATCTTCAAAAGCCACAGGAGTATTTATCTTTATTTGATGACATGCGATAATAACAATATTGTACAATTAGCTCGTCTTTTACATCTACTCACTTTTGTAAAATTAGAGATATTTGGATTTGCCAAAGAGCTCACAGAGAAAGTTTTGGTTTAAAGAATACGAGGTTATAAATTCACAGAGAAAAAAATTGTACTTTCCACCCCAACAGCTTCTATAATAAGTATTCACGAAGGTTGCTATTCTGTTTTCAGAGTGTGATGTGATCATATTAAATATATTTCTAAATGAATTCGCTAATTTTTTTCAGTTAAAAATATAATTGAGGCTCATGATCCGCGTGTACTGCGACCCTCTTCGTTAAGAAGTCCTATCCATTTCAATAGTACAAAGACTTTGGGTTCTGAGAATCAACAATATTACACGAGTGTCACGCGAATGTTGTATGACTGATTGAACGTGTAAGGCATCGTACACTACTTACCCCGCTGAAACTATATATACCACACTGGGGTTTGCACTTCAGTCGTTGCTTTGCGTAGTGAATGCTCAACGACGAAGCCTCACACCACTATTTACGCACTTTCCTACGACCATCTTCGCGTCGGAAGTCTTTTCCGCTTTACAACCATACTTGGCCCGATAAACCATCAAAAATGTGCGATCCTTGCGACCGACAAATTTTAATGAGGAGGCCGAGGTTGCCTGCAACGGAAACGATTGCAGCGGCTCCACAAATATTGACTCAGTACCTCCACCCACACATGGAGACATACGACCAAGTCGTCAAGCGAGGATGTGGCGCTCGCTCCGCCTCATCTGAGCACAAGTTACGAACTACGTACACATTCCGACTGGCTGGTTAAATTGCGACACCCCACTGCGGAATTCACGACTATGTTCACCACACCAATCATGAGCTGAAACTGGCTCGAGAATTCCAGAGCTTTATTGAGACCCTTGCTGATTTGGAAACGTCTTGTTTTTCAGCCATACTATGTGTCGCTCTGCGAGCGCATAGTGTCCACATTGGTCACAACTCCCATGGAAACCGGCTAAAAAAGAACAACAGCGATTTGAAGAACCCGTACTGTCCATGAAAACCACACCCTGGGTACTGAATGCTGGCAGGAGTGCCGATGAGTACCCGACCCGAATCATGCACAGGGTGATAAACGCGGAGTCTACAGCTCTGAAAGTCAGGTTCAGCAAAGCGGACGTCAGACTTGAGTGGCGATCAATGCTTGACTATGCAGATCACAGAGGATAAGCTTCACGTCGAGACGTAAACCTATCAATTCCAGTTTACACCGCCATCGACCCCACTCGTCTCCATGATACAGCTGCTACAGCTACCGACCAAGTATTGAACCTGCAACAAGGTCGGTCCCGACTTGTGAGTAAAACGTACGCTGCGCCGGCTACTTTTTTTTCCCCCGCCATGATGATTAGATCAAGGATACGCAAGTTCATCAGCGGCAACGGTGCTAGGGCAATCTTATTAAAAATTTGATATTAGGCTCTCATGAGTTTGAGAGAAGTATACCTTTCTCCATCACTAACAACAATTAATAGTACAGATGTACTCATCAGCTCAGTAAAAAAGTGGGCCCATCCATATTCATTGTGTAGCGTCTCGATGTACAACTTGCCCGTGACTGACTCTTGTGAGCTCTCTCCGAATATTTTGGTGTGTGGTCAGGACTGATAGGATTTCAATTTCGATTTACTCTCCCATCTAGGCCATCACACAACATGGTTGCAGCAATCTTCAGTGGTCCAGAACCGCGACACTGATCTAGAGCAGAGGGGAGCTGATCTGCAAAGAATGTTTGAAACGCTGCATCATCTCCAACAAAACCGCTTACATTTGAACGTCTCAGTAAGGCGGCGTCGTGGTTAGGTTTGATCAAGCTCGGGTAGATAAATGTTCTTATGGGTGCTAAGAGTGAAAATTTTAATCGTGAATGTTTTGATGTAGCGTGGTTGTTTATCAGTCTTGAAGACCACAGCCGATGCTTTGGGCTGTATTCAATACCACTTTCCTCCGACTAAGAACAATTTGAGCATCCTAATTTCAGTAAATGCATGGCGCATGACACAAATTCGTAGATGCAGTCATCTGCAAATCGGGTCGTACCGATAGCCGCTTCTGCAAAAATAAATTACTCACTTGAAGTGATGCCAGCAGTAACCCTGTGGCGATATACATGATATATAAACAGTGAGGGGGAGTCTGTACACGTATACACTGCGTTGTTCAGCACAAAATGAACAATTTGGGGCAACTTGCTCCAGCATAGCAATATCTCCGCGCAAGTGCTTCGGAGTATATCATCCACCCCGCGATTGGTCCGTTTCGTATTACCTTGTTGCCAAGTAGTATTTGGAATTGAAATGGTCAAACTGGTGCCAGGAACCTTAGACAATGTGTTAAGGTGTAAAGCACAAATTATTTTTGACGCTACGGCATCCAGAAACCCACGTTGGTTCGAATAACTTTGACGAGGAACAGCTTGGCTTCATCACCCCTAAGATCAGTCTTGTTGACAAAAGCGAGATGCAGTTATAGTCTGCCAAGACCACAATACTGGCACGTCTTTAAAGACCAAAACAAGGGTTTACACTTATGAAATGATTACTATGGAATTGATGACACTCTACCGACACCAACGACTAGCCAAATGTGTCAGTGTATTCGGCAAGAAATAATCTGCTGACACGTTTCATACGCGCACGTGTATGTATGTGCTGATCCTCTTAAATATAACAAACTCCCAGTCTACATCATATGCCGAGCTGTATGTATTTTTTGTCGATGTACCCATAAGCTGTGCCACGTGTGGCGCCCTGTACTTGTGGTTCTCGTCTGGACAGATTGCAGCAATTCGAGTCGGCGCTGTTGACAAGCAATCCTAGAAATAGGCGATGGCGATGCCAACGTGCAACCACGCGCTTAGAAGAAGCGACAGCTAAGCTCATAAACATCTTGCTGCCTGAGGCTTTCAGCAATGCTATAAATAAATCGTCTGACCCGGACGCTATCAGTATCGTCTCATCAATTGGCTGAGTCATTATTGTGAAATGCGACGATGCACAGACAAGTCAAATTCATCCATCAGCACATCATACCTACACATTTTTTCTGAACTTAATCCATATTAATATTTGATACAGCATGCTGCAACGGGTATGTCAGCTTACCTCGAATGTATAATAGCACATATAGAGAATACTTATATCGCTATGTACATATCACAAACGGCGTAATAGCACGTAGCTACACTTTGTAATTGTTACGTGCATACATCATCTTAGGTATTCCTACCTGTAAACTCAGTATTTAGTTCGCTCTGTGGCTATAAGCTGATAACAATTACGCATTCAAACCCATCAAAATCCGCTTAAAGCAAGTACAGCGTTTGCCGGTAACATTAAATGGCCGATTTGGATTCAAAAAGCCAGAAGTAGGCGCGCGTGGGAATTTTACACGCAGCCTTGAAAGCCGCCGGTTTAACAACACACCAGCATCACTATATATTCTTCTATGTTAATGGGCGAAAGACATTGACATGCTGGTATGATTTGCAATACATATGTCCGAGTAGCAGGCCAGGCAAACTCAGAATCTTGAGTCCTTGTGGATCTGAGCCACGATGATCTTCGCAAAATCTACCCGCTGGCCGTTCAACTTAATAATGACATTTTGACCTACGTCATCCTCGGCGCTGATAACACCTCAATTGAGGCGAAGAGCTTGCTCCACTACATATAAATAATAGGGTTCGTAACTGCTTGATGTGGTTTATTCTACCCGACTTCACGTGATGTGCACAGCTATCGACAAATATATCGTCAAAATAGGTTCGTGCACAGCCACAATCGGCCTGAACAGCTGCGTCACTACACGATTAAACGTCGCTGGTGCGTCAGATACTCCCGGATTCGTAAACAGTCTCTCGTGTCTCTCGCTCGGAATACTCAGTAACATCATTTTCTATCGTGTCCGGTGAAATATCCCTTCAAACCATATCAAAACGCTGTTCACGGTCCAACTGGATATGCAACCTTCTCTTGGAAATCGCTGATGCTTCAGAAAATTGGCTGCGGTTAGCAAATTAGAAGCATGTATACTTCACCACCAGCCATTAGCTTAACTATTACAACACGTTAACGCCGATGAGGAATGCGCTCTGTCCACCTCGTCATCCGCACTGAAAAAGGTATCATTGCGTCACACTGTCTCTTGGTGTGGGTCATTAACCGGCTACGCATACTATAGCTCCAGTGACCTGGTAATCGCATGACGCACTCCCGATCGGGGGGCAAACCGCGTGGTGGACCTATTTTCACCACATCGTGGTAAGCGAACTATTATCCAGAGCATCTATACGATTTGCTGACTAACTATTCCCACTCAGTGATCTGGGAGTGTCTGATGCTGAATTTATCAATAACGATAAAGAGCTCAGTTAAGCTCCTCCCCTGGGACAAAAACATCAATTTAGCTGCATTAAAGTCTTGCAACTCATTCGCAAACACCTACATCAAATAGTTTTGTAGTTCAGTAAGGGTCTTTTCGGTTTGAGGTAGTGAGGGAAGATTTGCCAACTCCGAAATTATCCAGTTACTCAATTTACGAAATACATATTTTTTTCCTTGTTGAACTCGTCGATTTTGGTACTGT